CAAGGTCTATGTCAAACAGATTATTACCCATCAGATGATAATGTTGGTGATACAAATGGATCCGATCTAGAATCATTATTCGATTATTATGGTACAGGTCAAAATCTAATAATCATTGAACTGTTAACTGATATTCCACGATATCTATGTTGGGCATATATAGTTATAAAATTACCAATGTTATTAATAAATAAAATAAATGCAACAATTAAGAAGCGAAATCGAAAGGAAATCAATCGTATTCATTTAACAAGAGAAGAAAAAATTCTTTTACATTCATCAGCTGCTCATTCTGTTGAAATGCGTTATGTACGAAATCTTTTTCGAGGAAATAATGAACATCGAAAAAGTCGTTTATTCATAGGACGTTTAATACCAAAATTTATTTATGAATGGCGAGATGATTTTCGTTTTTCATCACGAATAGTTTGTGTTTATGCATCTGTATTTCTTCTTCTATATTTTATGACAATACAAGCATTGATTCGTATTATACCCATTTTGAATGTATTTCAAGAATTACTCGAAGTGGTATTTGATGCAATAACAACAATAGGTGATTCATTAAATATCCAAAAAGATTTTCCAATGCCCAATTTACTTCGTCCATTTGTTTTTGCTATATTAACAGCATTTGTAGTAACAGTAATTCAATTGTTAATTCTATTAGCAAGTATTCGACGAAATTTATTTCAAATCTATCGTGGTGATGATTCAGAAATTCCACTAAGAAATAAATCAAAATATCTTAGTTATGCAGGAGGTAATTTTCATTTTGCTGGTTATTTTATTGGTTATCTTATATGGGGTTATGTTTTAATTGCTGTTTTTGCATTGATTATTTATATATGTATTGCTTCATTTATTACATTTGGTAGTGTTAGATTTCTTGAAAAAATTCTCAAATCAATAATACCAGTCGTATTATTAATTATTTTCAAACAATATCTTAATAATTTATTAGCAAGATATGTCTTTTTACAACATTATGGAGATATATTAGCAATAAATAATCGGAGAATATTGATGATATTTTTATATTTTAATTTCTTTCTCGATTCATTTCTTGGTTTTGTTTCATCGATAGTTCGTATTATTAAAAGTGTTATTGGTGGATTTTTATATATGACTCGTCTTGATTATTCACCATTGGGTAGAAAACTTGAAACATTAGATTCAGGATTTTCGGCTTATTGTGGTTTTATTCATATTGAAGCTGTTCATCGAAATCCAATCATGTTAGTAGCTGTAAGTTATTTATATGGTCGAATGAAAGCAAAACAGTATATACTTAATAATCGGATAGTAACAATAGAAAACGAAAAGAATTATTCATCGAAAGCAATTCGAAAATGGCATTTAGCAGTATTCTTATTACGAAATCCGAGATTAGTATTTTCAAGAAAAAATGCTCTTCGTGAAAAGGAGAATAAAAATACGGAAGCATTAAATGCAAAACTACGAAGATTATCACTCATTGAACAAATAACCCATCGACCAAGTCTTATTTCAGAAAACGATTTAGAAAATATGTGGCAAAAATAATATTTATTGTATAATTAAAACATTACTCTTTTTTGCTTCGAAATCGAACTCTGATGTTTATAAAAGGATTTTAAGCTCGATTTTTTAAATTTCTTTCGAAAGAACATTAAAATTAAATCAAAAATAGAGTTGTTCGATGATCCATTCTTATTAATACTTTGAGTAACCAAAACAAATTGTAAACTTGTATTAAACTTCAAAGTTTATTTATCTTAACAAACTTTAGATAAAATAAAATCCTTTGTGTAACAAAACAATCAAATATATATCAATATAAAAAAAAGAGTTAACTAAACGCATGAATAAAATCAGTCATTCATCAAATAGCTTTGGTTTAACCATTTAGTATTTAGAGTTTCTGTCGTATTGCTGCTAAATCTACACGATCGGTAATACGAGGATCTCCATAGTTTTTAATAATATAAGTAAAACCTTGATGAATCCATACACCAGCAATAGCTCCAAGGATTGGACCACTTATTGGTATAAAAAAGAAATAATTATCTATACTAAATACATCACTTCGACCATATATAAATGATCCGAAAAGACGTGGACCAAAATCACGAGCCTAAAATATAATAAAAATTTTACAAATAAATCTTTACAATTCTTTTACAGGATTCAGTGCAGCTCCAGCATTGATTGAAAATGCACAAGTTATTCCTATTATGATTAATACAAATGCAAATGGTTTTGTTACTTCTGATGTCATATGATTAAAATCCTATATGAAAATATAAATCAATTTCTTATTTATTTTATTTAATAAATTACTTGTGTAAGTGCCATTATAAAAATCATTAAAATAGCAGCAATTATAAGTTGATCAAGAAATGTATTCCAGTGAGGTACACCATCAGAAGGCATTGTAAAAAATATATCAGCTGTACCATTAGGACCTGTCATTTGTCTTATACCACCATCAAATTTATTAAATTGATTTAAATAAACAAGATAAACTAAAGCCGCTCCTAAAAATGCTCCCAGTATTTGACCGATTATATAGAACATACATTGTAATGGTTTTACTAATCCAATCGTCATTAACGATATAGTAACTGCTGGATTTATATGTGCACCTAATATTATATATATATCAAATATAATTTTGATCATAAGAAATGAATATTTAACTAACCTGAAATAGGCCCGGCAATCATTAACGCTAAAATGAAATTAATAAATATAACAACAATCATTTGAATTTGTTTAACAATACCTGCATAAACTCCAATAGAAAATGCAATAGTAATTGGAAGTGTAGAATGAGATGTTTGTTGAGCGAATTTATAATTAGCAAGAGCAGCTTCACCTATAAGTATTAAAATACATGTTCCAAAGCATTCGGATAATAATTCTACAGTATATTTTTGTAATTTTTCTTTTGAAACCATGTTCGTCGTTTATTTTCTAGTATAAGAATAAAAATGAAATACGAAGAATAGTTATAGTGAAACTATCCGATATATAAATACATGTGACCAACCATTTCTTTTCTTTACTTTTCTTTTCTTATATATTATACATATATATAGAAATGCAAAGAACAGTAAAGTATATCATTCTTATATAATCACAAGATATTTTAGAAAACAAGATGCGACCAAAGAATAGTTTCCAATAAAACAATCGATATACAGCTGTTATACTATTAAATGGTATATAAATTTAGAAAATATTGACTATTTCTGTAAAACTATATTCTTTCATATGATACAGTACAGATATTAAACACTTACACTATCTTCTATCAAGAAATAGAATCGACTAGCTTTACTGTTTTTGTCTTATTAATTATAAAAAAATATTAAAAATAAAGAGTTCCACGAACTCATTCGTTTTATTTTATTTATGTCTATATAGTTAAATTTAGTTTTCAAAAGATAGAT